TTTGTGGAAGGCACACTGGGTCAGAGAGTCAAAAACAAGAAACTAAGCCGAAAATGTACCCCTGAATTTCTACCAGTAGAGTTTAGCAAGACTTTTACATCATTGCCTTTTTCTGGCAGGTTTGAAGCCAAAAAAGCCCTGTCACATGATCACAAAAAGAAGCAAATGGCCACAAGTAGTCACATTTCACCAATCACTAGAACAGTGGACTAGTGGGGGAGGCATTTTACATCAACAATGCTGTTGTTTGTGCCACTAAATCGGAACTGACACATAGCTGACCTTCCAATGGGTTTTCAGAGGCTGTAAGTCACCTAGACGGAGACTCCATCTTTGTCCCATGGAGCAGCTAGTGGTTTCGAAATCCCTACCCACTAGGCTATCAGAGCTCCCTATATCAACACACCTTTTAAAAGGTCCCTTTACTGTATTTTAGTGAACATCATCTTAACCTAAACTTCCTACTCAATATTATCATTTCACTGAATAAAAAAATGTTCTTTGATAATCTGCCAAGCTGAAGTCCCATGCACCCTTAGACTAGATAAGATCATCCAGGAACCTTGACTCTTGCCTTATTTTTCTGTTAATACCAGACAAAGCAGAATGCCTTCTTCCTGCTGAAGCATAGCCCTTCTGTCATTAAGTCTCTAAATTTAATGTTTTAAAAGTAAGGATAAGAATGGGGTTAGCAATTTACTGGCAAGTGCAGACTGCAAGATAAACCGATAGTGTAAGGACAGCAGAGAAGAACAAGATGCCACAGCCCAAGTCAAGAAGTGGGCAGGAGAGAGGCATATGCATAGTGCTACACAAGGGGGGTTCTGCTACTGAGATTACAAATGGCACACAGTCCTAGAAAAATGATATGAATAGTGATAGGATGCCCATGTTTTAGATTGGAAGGAAAGTGAAAAGTAAAACTAATAAAAAGCAGTTTTTAGTTTTTGTTTTAAAAAAAAAGTTCATGGGGAGCTCTGGTGGCCTAGTGGCAAGGAACTGCAATACAATCCCAGAGGCGCACGGTTCGAACCCACCTGATGCTCTGCCGGGGAAGGAGGGACAATCTCCTCCTGTACCAGTCAGACCTGATTTGACGGTACAGGCACACAAAAAAATAATTTAAAAAAAAAAATTCAAAGCTTTCCAAATAAATTATTCTGAAGCCAACCCTCGAGTTTGAGAGTTAATTCACTATCATGCAACTGTCATTAAAATCACAGTGCCACATAACATTTTTATCTGTAAATTTGTTCGAGTTTTTTAGGAAGGCAAAAAAGATTTCTAGATCTCTACTGAATGCCTTAAATTTAGCAAATGCTTTCGTTTAATGTATAAAAAAGAGCAGAAACCCAACACAGAAAAGCAAAACCAAACTGTAAGCAAAGTTTACTGGCTTCCTTCTTTGGCATGAAGTATTTAGATTTATTATTAGTTGGGTTCAAAGGTTAAAACTGAGAAAACAACGCTGGATACTTGGGAAGGAGGGGCTACCTCAGCTAGGTGGTCACATGACAGCCGCTAATTAGGAAATGCTAAGGGGAGGGTTGAGGGCAGGATATCTACCCACCCTCCTGTACGGCAAAGTTTGATTTTTTTTGCTTTAAGAAAAAAAATTTTAAAGAATAAAGCTCTCAAAAAAGGCTTTATAAATAAATAACCTCCAGGCTGATTAAGCACGGCTAACACCCCGGCACTATGGCTTTCTTAGAAAAAAAAAAAAAAATTTAAAAAAGAGACTTGGCTTTTAAAAGTCTCTATTTTAAATAAAATATTTCTATAGTGAATTTTAATCAAAATAGTCTATCCTCCAAACTCAGAAAATCTTCCTCTGCCATTACATTACAGAATTAAAATACTACTATGCTGCATTTCTTTATGGGTCTAAATATTTCTTTTAAGGAAAAATGCATCTTCCCTCACACACTTTTGTGCTATATCTTTCATGGACTACTTTGAAACGAAAACTCACAACCTTCTATAAAGTAAAATCAAACAGTTCACTTTAACATTTGAAATTATTTCTCACTGACTTAAAGTTGAAATTCTTTCATTTCTTTACAAAGTACACATCTTTGTCTTTATAATTATGTTAAATGCCTTAAAATGGGCATTTCCTTATATATACAATTTTTACATCTAATGCAGAATGATGAACAAAATTTTTCACGATTAATGCTAATACTTTATTGACCTGAGATAGGTAAGTAATGATGACCCATCGCTTGATGTGAAGTTGAATTTATGACACCATTTTGATCGTGCATATTATCTGCAATTACCTGCACCACTCATCATGAGCCACTAGATGGTGTAAAAAAATAAATTAAAATGGTAACATTTCATTCCATCACCAGGAAATCTAAATATAACTCTAGGAAAGATGAAACATATTCGAGGTGCTGAGTAACTCTGGAAGTTCTTATACCAATTGTATTTTGAAAAACCTTGCTAGTATTTAATATCAGCTCCACCTTGACCTAGAAACAAATCCTTTCTAGAAATTTATAGTTCTTTTAGACTAAAAGCTTTGAGTTCTAGATTTATAATACCACGCATTTAAAATTATACTCATCAGTCATATACTAAATGTATTTATAATATTTCTTCATAGCTTGTGTGTGCCAAAGTTTTGATAAAACTGGAAGGCCAAGCCAATAAAAGATTATTAGAGTCTCCAGAGAGTCCCATCTGATTTTGCCCCAAGCCAGGCAGGTAAGTAGGAGTGTTTGCAAACATAAACCAACTCCAGAACAACCAAAAAAGCTGTAACCAAGATGCCCTTCAGTATCCAAAACGTGTCCAAATTCTGTCAAGCAGAAGCACATGTGGATTCTCGATTCTCAGAGGGAAAAGTAAACATAGCTCACAGTGATAACTTACTAGATGAGGTTACCAAAGCTGAGGCATGCCACTTATTTTTCCTCAGTTCTTTGTTCATTAGTATATAATTTTTTAGAAAGATAGTGTCAGTTTTTGTAAACTGTAGATAACCACCTCACAACTATTCGATTAAGCCCATTATTGAGCATGTAATTGTCCTGAGTGCAGGCCATAGCTTTTTGAGTTAACCACTTAATATAGAAATCAGACTGATTCATTTCAGTTGATGTCAAGAAACGTTCTTGGAAACATACCAGAATCTCCTCAGATTTCCTTAGCTCACATTTGCTTTCATCAGTTTAGCTGCTATTGTATGAAAAAAATGAAAAGGTTTATTAGCTTCTACTTGGAATTTCAGCATTTAGGGATACTCTGCTTTCCGTTATGAAATTGGCAAAGTCCATGTGGATTTGTTTTTAAAACTTTCTTTATGAATCAGACTTTCTTTGCCATGGAAAACTTTGTTGGCACATCACTCAACTGCCAACATGGTCTGTGAATCAGCAGTATTCCTGTAGGCAAATGTCATTTCTACCATGGACCACTGCTCAGAAAAGAATTCTCTGTTAACATGACATTGAATATGTAACCATAGATGAGTATCATACTTCTGGGATTTCAGGAAGTTAATTCCTATTCTCCTAAACCTCTTTGATGGAGACTGTAGTTTTATCAGTGATGTTTGATTATATACCCAAGGCTAGCAGTGGTGGGATAACTCTTGGAAAAGTTTATGAGTTTACCATCTAAACTTTCTAAGCACTGTCAGCCTTTCACAGGCTTGAGGTTTCCTGTCACATCATTTCATGAGGGACTTTCTAGAAATGTGAATTCTAGCTGGGGACTTTATTTTTTTCCTATAAGAGAGAAAAGTTGTTGGTATAGTGTTACCATTTGAGAATAAAGAATCGATATGTGTTTCTATCTTATTCTTTTTGAATCCTAGTACCTAGAATGGACCCCAATATGTTTTAGGTATTTTATGTTACAAATTAAACAACCTGAGAAGAGGGAAGGCAGATATATGCAGAATGAAGAAAATACAAGGAAATCATTGGTCTGGCAGTAAAAATGCTTGGCTCAACTATTCTGGCACTTTCTGGGTCCAGGTTCCCTTCTTTATAAAGCAGACTAAAGGCCCCTGTTGCTACGACCCTTAGCTCCTCCTTTCTAGGATTCTCTGTTTTATGATTTTATGTAACAGAAACTGTTAAAATTCAATGAGTGACTTCTTTTACAAAGTGTTTTCTGTAAAAGTCCAAAACATGTCTGTGATTAAGACACCACATTCAACTCTAACATTTATGAATTACATAACCCTTCCCTTCTTAGATTTAATTTTCAAAATCTCCATGTATCATTTACTTCTGCAGTAGTCTTTTAAAGTAGAGAGGGCACTTTTTAAAAAAAGTCTTCATGTTATATTAAGGGAAATCAGATATGAAAATGAAAAGGGAGCTCACATAGCTCATTATAGATTTTTAAAAGCCTTAAGTCTTATATCTAAGGACAAAAAGATTCTGGACAGTCCAGGATCTTAACAGGCAGACAGATTACTTTTAAAGTATATTTAAAGATGAGTACATACTTTACCACACTGTTTATAAATACAGTATGTTAAGTTTAAAGAAATTACCTAAACCTGTCTGAATAGAAAAGCAGTGCCTTTAAATTGTCGGAACACTTACTTTATTTACATAAAGATGAAAAACTTGTTCTATAAACACAGTGTTTCCAGTAGTGAATGGGAGACAAAATCAGAATAAGCACACAGAAGAATAAAAAGGAAGGGGAAAGAAAAACTTAATAAATAACCTAAAACCTTACAATGTTAACTTTCACGTAAGTATATTGTTTCTGGAAAAGGCAGTCGGTGGATGTGAGCCAAGGGTTGAAGTGATAGGTAAACACTGTTAAGTTGGATTCTGTTATCTGATTGTGTTTAAAATTTGCTTATATTTCACCTGACAAAATAATTAATTATTGTGAGCTCCCAATTGTTAAAAACTGCTTAGAAGAATTCCAATTGGCATTTCCCTCCAATGCTGGAAATTCAAATGCATAAGCCCCTAGCTTTGTATCTATCTCTTTATAGTTGTCATTTTGGAAGATCTTACCTTGCTAAGAATGTAAATCACGTCACCACGTTTAAATGACAGCTCATCAGAGAGAGCTCCTGTGCAGTCCCACAAGCCCTGGTAAAAATTAGCATAGTCCGTGCTTTTATCTCCTAGGAAGAAGGAGAAAATAGGAGTTCAGTGTTTTCACGGAATCACTCCTGGTTTTAAAATAAACCAATTAGAAACGGATTCCCACTTATATAACAAACCTAAACCTTTTATAACACGTTTTAAAGATGGTATACTGCACAAGAAGGAGCAATATTAAAAAGTGAGATGGACCTGTGAAATGAGTATCTCACAGAATTTGAGACACTTTATATCTTTCAATGTTCTTTCTAAAACACTTCAGAAACTTTAAAATGACCACTGCTGAAGCTGCATTTTTCAATTTCTTTTTTTGTCAGCTCCAGTTTAGGACATTAGGCTCTGAATAAACACGGAACATACACTGGAGTTATCAGCTCATCCTTCTAACAGCATAAGCACAATGGATGTGATGTGCTCAAACTGCCATACAGACCATTAACTGATTGATTATTTAGCGCTCTCCACTCTGTAATACCACAATAAACCGGGTAATAAATGTTTTGTCACTTATACAATGTGAGTCTCCTGAAACGCAGCACAGAGTTAAATACACTGGATGCTTTTGTTACCCTGAGAACTGTTTCCTGTTTTTAATTTCATGATAATTGAGTTTTGATGAGTTAATGCAAAAAGAATGCCAGTAATATCAACAAGATTTCCGTGCATTCACTAAACAGGCAGAACATAGATGTGCTGACAGCTTCCATCATTGGAATGTCATCTTTGAATTCTGAGGGGATAACTGTGGAGATACATGTCAGATCAGGGTTGGCATCTGAGTTTTGCTACACAGCTTACAAACAGGAGGCTCCTTGGCAATTCTAACACAGTCATTCATATGAGCATGGCACTCGGGTGTTTGCTCTATTACACCTCATTTGCAATTTACATAAGTATTGAGTTTATTAGGGATGTTTAAAGTTCTCTTGAATATCTAAAAAAAACCCCAAAAACATAAAAGGCTAAAAATGATCTGATCAATATGAAATGAATGTGATAGCAATGTACTAGGAATAGAAGGGTACTTTTAAATTGTTGTTGTTGTGTATCATCTGGGTTTTCAGAGGCACTTAATCACAGAGGCAGTTAATCACATGGGAGGAGACTGCGCATCCTTCTCCCACAGAGTAGCCAGTGGCCTCGAACCACACACCTTCGGGATTGCAGTGCAGTTTCTTGCCACTAGGCCACCAGAGCTCCCTATTTTCAACAGTACTTCCAAAAAGAAAAGGCACGGACTAGAATGCACAACTTTGGAGGAAACCCTTAATAACCTTTTTTTTCCTTTTTCTTTTTATAAGAATTAGAAAGGTAAAGGGAAGGGGATGAGGCAGGGGGTGCAGAGAGGAGCACCTTCTGAGTTGTCCACACCATCGTAGGAGCACACATCACAGAGATCAGCAGGGATGTCTGTAAGCCTGGAATCCAACCAAGAACTAAAAACACTCGTGGCCACCCTTCATTACATTTTCCCCACAGCGTGGGTTAAGCAAATCCTGTAAAAGGACACTAGAGGGCACTCCGACTGGCCAGATCACTGCAAACATTGTCAATTTTTCGGGAAATGACTTAATAATAAAGTGACTGATTTCTTTTAAAAGCCACTTATTTAGACAAATAGAGATTTTAGAAGTTGAAACATTCTCGTCAGACTAAATCAACTGCTAAATGGGTCAAATGTTGTGCCCCATGTAGTCTGTCAGTGTCAATTTAAAAGTCAAGGAATTAGAGCAAAGAGAGGCTGACATCATTTTGAATGCAAGGCCCTCCCCGACAGTAACTGGCCAGGAGGCCCAAGACTCTAAATAGCTGGTTTCCTCAGCCAAGGCTCCTACGTGTTCCTCACTCTTAGGCTTGGTCCATAAAGGTTGAGGAAACTCAACTTGCACTAAGAATGAGAGTAAAGGTTTTGGCTTAGCTATGGTGTCCCAAGGGTATCCCGCAATGTCCAGGCCACATTCTCCTTGGATTCTCTCACAATAGTTTTTCTCTGGGTAAATTTTTTAAAAGGGGAGGGGGTGAAGGAAAAGAAGTCCACGGTGATTTCTAACACATAATCTTTATCACTTTGGGGTCTTTCTCCCCCTTGATGCGCTTGGTGAAACTCCCATTAACACTAATGGGAGTTACAGAAGCACAAGAGGCGAAGGGAGACCCCCACCGTGTGCAAGATGCATCTCTCCCTAGATGTGCTTCATGAGCATTTCATTAAATCTCACTGCTCTAAAGAGACAACAGAGCTTGCGATTCGGCAATGTTGGGGAGGGAGGTGCATTTTCAACTATGCTCTCTATAATTTTTATGATGATGATGTTACCCAAAGACCAGCTTCATTCCCATGTCCCATATGTGAGCTCTGTTAAAGAACTATAAGTAGTCTGTGTTACACAGCTACACATAGATACAAGCTACTCTTCTATTCCAGCACGCAAAGCTAGTTATAAAGCAAGAGAACAAAATAGTAACCAGGGAGAAAACCAGGCAGCATATTTTGGCTGGGGAGCTATAGTGGTCTGCTGGGTAAAGAGGAGAGTCGCCAACCCGATGAAAGGGGGTCTGGATCCAACAGCTGCTCTGTGGGAGAAAGATGGGCAAACTGCTCCTGTGCCATTTCTAGCCTCTGAAAACTCACTGGAGGGTCAGACATGGGTCAGTTCAGCCTGGATGGCAATGAAGTGAGGTGAGATGTGTTTATTAGCCACAGTCGCCTGAGGAAAGCAGTATTTAAATTATTTTTGAATAAACAATTTTATTGTGATACAGATGAAGGTAACAGAGAAAATTCAGTTCCCCCTCAACAGTTTATTTACATTGTTTTGTTTGTTAGTTGTAGTGGTGGTGGTGCTGTTTGCCTTCAAGCTGGAAGTGACCCCTAACTGACCCTTCCTCCATAGAACACCACCCTTCCCATGTCCTCCTTGAGTTCCCCATTTCCACTCAGCTATCTTTCCTGTCCCTTCCTGCTTTGCAATTTTGGATTGATGCAAATGCTTTTGGTCATATATATCTGATTTTTTCCGAGAAGCATGTTCTCTATGGGTGCTACTGTTCATTTTGGAGGTCCATCTAGTATTTGGCTGGAGGGTCTCTGAGCTGGTTCAGTTCTGGGTTTGAAGGGTGTCTGTCTAAAGGACTCTTCTCAGAAGAGTCTCTGCCAAATCAGTAAGTCTGGTCTGTTTGATGATTTTCCATATTGGTCTCCACTTGTCTCCCACTATGTCCAGGACCTCCTATTGCAATCCTGATTAGAGAAGCTAATAAAAGGAGCCAGACACTAGCTAGTTCTTCTGGTCTCACAGTAAGACTAGGTTTGAGCCAACTGTTTCCTTAAGTCTGCCTTTCCTTGCTTTGCTTTTCTCCAGATGAAAGAAACCAGTAGCTGTGGCCACTCCCAAGCTTTTAAGATCTCTGTTGCTATTCAGTAAAGCAAGATGTAGAATACTGTCTTTATGAGTTATTTTATGCCAAGTGCCTTAGATGTCCCCTAAGCATCAAACTGAATGACCCAGTCCCTCAAGGTGATTGGTTATGGCAACATTTACATTCTTGATATGAAATCTGGACATGGATATCAGAAATTATCTTGTTCCTTAGTGAGCAAATTCCTCTGATTTGCTTTTTTAAAATGTGGCTACATTATACATAAAAAAAAAAAAACCTAAGCTAAGTGTTAAAAGCATGGTAGGGTCACAAAAGTAAGCATTATTTCAAAAAAAGAGTCCATTTGAGATATGTATTAAAACAAGCAAAATACAGAATGTCAGAAACCACAGATCAACATATATTCTAAAATAAAAATTAAGCCTGTTTCTTGAGTGCATTAACTTACTAGATAATGGTTTATTTTTTTTAAGTTATAAACAATTTTACCTTATGTTTCCTATTTCAAGAGGCATGGATGATAAAAAAAAAATAAGAAAGGAGGAAGAGGGAGGGAGGGAGGAAGGGAGGGAAGGAGGGAAAGAGAGAGGAAAGATTGTAAATTAGCCAGTCAGTGAAGAGTTTAAACAAAACCCCTGCTCTTGCTTTTGAAAACAGTTTAAAAAACCCTAGGTCACTGAACAGAAAAAAGTATTATGAACGTATGAATGAAAAGTGTAAACTTCTAAATGGAAGATATTTTGATAATATAACAAGGATAAAATACTGGATAAAATAATGGAAACTCTGCCTTTTACAGATTTTAACACCATTTTAGGAAGTTAAACATACAATTTTCCTTCCTAAAATAAAATAGAATATTTTACATATATATGCAAGATATGTAAGCTTAAATGTGAGAGAACAACTTAGAAATTTTTATTCTAAAATTAACTTTTGTTTTTGTTAAAGTATTTTACACTACAGTAATAACCTTTTTTTAAAAAAATTAAAATTAGTCAATGAGGAAAATATATAGCATTCTTGAGTAAGGTTAGAAGTTCATATCATGTGATGCTCAGCAAGACAGTAATACCCTTGTCAGCTCACTGCCCTCCACAGCAAACAAACTTCTAGTGTTACATTTCTGACAGCCTAGTGAAGATCAAAGGTCACTGCTATGCAAAAGCATTAAAACTGTTGCTTGAAAAGAATTTCATGTCACTGAAGATAAGAATTATTGCAGCGCAGTGTTTTATAGCTAGTTCATGAAAAACTGGTTCGCTGTACTTATTGCATTCTCTTAAGGAAAAACTGATTTTCTCTCCTACACACAAAGGCGAAAATTTGGGAGACAGTTATTTTAAAAGGGTTTTTGACAAATACAATTGCTTCAAGCCATAATATTTGTAACCACGGAAAGAATATCCACTATGTGTCTATCTTCTACACCTGAATTGGATTTTTTTTTATAAGAACTGTATGTTCTTGGCAGAAGCTTTATAATACATAACCCAAAACATATATACTTAAATTACTATTGAGCATAGTCCTCAAGGTTTCATGAGGCCTCGTGTATTATAGCTGCATTTTACAGGACTAGAGTGCTAACATTAATGACTCTGTCCTTGCTTCCTTTCTAAGAAAAGCAAACCCAAACCCTCTTGCAGCAACCTGCTCCAGCTTTCCTGCCCAGGTCCGGAAATCAGGCCCCTGCTTCCTCTTCACATGTCATAGTAGGAAAGACTCTGGAAAGTGACTTCCTGAACACACGCTTCTTGTCCGCCCTGCCTCTGACAGCTTGAAAGAGTGATGTATGAACATTTGAGAGAGGGGAAGGTGACCCTGACTGTAGTCCCTTCCAGGACATAGGGATGATATGGCGGACCTTGCCCGGCTGACATGTGGCTATGAAGAGGTGTAAAGTACTGATAAGAAAGCAGGCCCTTTTCCCCTCCTGTGTAAAATAATTGCTGGTTTATCAAAACTAACCTCATGCTTGGGCTACAGATATGGTTTATCTCCTGCTGTTTGAGAAATAACAAACAGCAAGAAAAGTTGCCCGTATCATGTGATTTCACACATAGTGTGTGCAGTTATTTTTCCAGCCTCCCTCATAATTAGTACTTGGGGCCATGTGCCAAGTGGAAATGGATAAGGGGTATATCCTTCCTCACCATCTAGGCCACCAGTGTCCTTTTCTCATTTTTAAGCTGCTGTCACTGGACTCTGGCATTTCTTACCCAATTCATTTGCTTTCTGTGTTAATCATATGCAATGAAGATATGCATGGCCAACATTTAAACAGGCTGCAGATCAATTAGCGGTCTTAAGTTTATCTGATTTTTATCAAAGAAGACAGAGCTGTGGGTCGATTGTCAGAGCCTGTGTCAAGTTGACCTTTTCAGAGATGTCTACATTGCCAGTCCCCTGGGCAACTTGTTGTCCCCTGTTAGTCTCTGAATGGCAGAAGTCTGTTCTGCTCAAGCACAAAGTATACACAGATGTCTATATTACATTCTTTTAGGTTTGACAGCAACTGCATGTTGTATCTATAAACTGTCCTTTAGCAGTGACACTTCCTCAATGATGATAAGCTAATTTATGCAACTAAATCTCCTTTGTGCAGAAATGAAAGCTAATTGAGTCATTACAAAGTAATTCAGGAAGGAATACCTTGTATAAATTGGCTTACTTTATAAATCCTTCTCAAGTGGTTTTCATGCATCCTAAATGGGACTAAGCAGCTTATCAGCCATAGGATATCCAGACTAAACCAGTCAACTTCGGGAAGCTGGGCACACATCTTTAGAGCAGCAAAAAGAAAGCCCTAAAATGAAAGTGAGCAACATCAAAATACGCTTCACCCCGACTCCACACAATTCAATACCTGTGGTGTGGTGAACGCTGTCCTCACTCATCTTTCTTTGTTCTTCAATTTTCCCAGGAGCACTGTCTTCCTCCTCTTCTGCAAATAAACAAGAATAAATGACACAATGAAGGGCTTCTTCCTGGATAGCAACATTTCAGAAGCAAGTATGTTCAGAAATGTGTTCAGGATGCCATTTCATAAGCAAAACTAATGCACAAATATTTCACAAGCAAAGCCAAGTTTCTAATACATAAATATTACTTTTCAAAGGATGATGCTAATCCACATTGCACTCCTTTCTCAATCACCTGACGTTGAATAAACCTCATGCTGTTTCTAAACAGCAACCTGAACAGTTGGGTTTGGTGAAATTGAAGATATGTACTAATGCAGTAGGGCATCTTGGTGGCCTAGAGGCAAGAATCTGTGCTGCAATCCTGAAGGAACACGGTTTGAATCCACCAGCTGCTCTGTGGGAAAAGGATGGGCAATTGTATGCAATTAACTGCCTCCTAAAACCCACCAGAGTGTCAGCTATGGGTCCATTCTGACTCAAAGGTACATAACAACTAATGCTTTGCAGCTTTTGTTTAAAACATGTAAAGAAATTGATTTGGAATAACCTCATCTACAGTAAATCTGTGCCTTTACATCCCACATTATACTGTACTTGATATTGTGGCAGGACTCCCATAGATAAAATTATTGTCTCTACATTTATAAAGAGAAAATGTAAGAGATTAGTTAATCTGTAAGTTATTTACCAACTATTCAGTCTTGCCTTATGTTTTCTCAGTCTTCATCCTTCAAAGTGATTCCCCAAAAATCAGACTGAAGACCTCTTTATCACGTGTCAACACTATAGTAGATGTTAACATTTCATACAGAAGCCATTTAAAATCTTTGATTTATAGATGAGTAAACTGAGACTCAGAAAGCAGAAGTAACTTCCAATGTTTTATTACTCACATTTAGGTTTCTGATTATATAAATTTAGTGCATTTTATCTGATATATTCAATATGTTTTTGAGCTGTGGTGCTGGAGAAGAGTATTGAGAATACCATGGACTGCTAGGAAAACAAACAGATTTGTCCTGGAAAGGGTTAAACTGGGTGGCTCCTTGGAGGCAAGGATTTTGAGGCTCCATCTAACATACTTTGGACATGTTGTGAGGAGAGACCAGTCCTTGGAGAAGGACATTATGCTTAGGAGGGTGGAGGGACAGCGCAGGAGGGGAAGGCCCTCTATGAGGTGGATTGATTCAGTGACTGGGATAATCAGGATGGGAGTGTCAGAGGCAGTGCGGTTGGCACAGGACAGAGCAGAGTTTAGGGCTGTTGTACATAGGGTCGCTATGAGTCGCAAGCGACTCGACGGCACATAACAAAAACAACAAGAGCCTTTTTACTCTGCTATCAGATTCTTTTCTCCAATTATGGGAAGTTATATGCTAAGATTAAACTGAAGATCACTTTAAGCAGGGTCATCATCAGACATTGAATCCTTTCACGCCAAAGAAACATGTATATTACGCTGTCCCTTTTCCCAGCTTACGTTTTATATATATTTAAAAGTATTTAAACAAAATAACATACCAAAGAACAAATGAGTTCCAAAAGACTGACAACCTGAATAGCAAGCTACACTTTAAAGAATACACACGGGGTCACTTCCGGTCTCTCGTTAGCTGCCACCTTACATCCCCTCGTGTGCAGTCTATCTCAGATGGTCTGCCAAAAGACCCCCTGAGCCCCAGCCCTGGTCGCCTGAGAAGCCCCATTTCCTCTCTGACAAGATGAAAGAAACGATCATGAATCAGGAGACACTTGACAAACTGCAGGCACAAGTGTGCATTGGTGGAAAAGGAACCACAAGCAGAAAGAAGAAGGTGGTCATGGAACAGCTAGAGCAGATGACAAAAACTTCAGCTCTCCTTAAAGAAATTAGGGGTAAACAATATCTCTGGTATTGAAGAGGTGAATATGTTTACAAATCACAGAACAGTGATCCACTTTAATAATCCTAAAATTCAGGCATCTCTGGCAGCACTTTCACCATTACCGGCCATGCTGAGACAAAGCAGCTGACAGAAATGTCACCCAGCATCTTAAACCGGCTTGGCACAGATAGTCTGAGTTGTTTAAGAAGACTAGCTGAAGCCGGGCCCTAACAATCTGTGGATGGAGAAGCACCACTCGCTACTGGAGAAGATGATGAAGATGAAGTTCCAGATCTTGTGGAGAATTTTGAAGAGGCTTCAAAGAATGAAGCCAACTGATCTGAGTCAACTTCTAAAGAAAATAAAATGTGACGAAGTTACTTTGAGCTGCTATTTTATGTTATGACTTTTTAAAAATTGTTTTGCTTATGAATCTGATAAAATCTAGACCTTTCATATTTTTAAGCCCAGCAAGACTTTTGGACATTGCAGCTCTTTTCAGTTTTTACTTAAATATAATTCATTCTTTGCAACTAAATAAGCTGAAGAACCTGGGAATAAAATTTGAAACAAAGGTTAAAAAAGAAAACATACAAAGATACATACCTGCTATTTTTGACCATTAAATAATTGCTCCAATGAATTAATGAGTATTAACCACATAATAGAGATGCTATCAGGGAGGTAATTAGAAGAGGGAAGGTCTGCCCCAAGGAAGCGGACAAGATCTAAAGGAAAATGGGAGAAGGAGTATAAACGGGACAAGTCAGTAAAATACTGAAGAAACTATGGAATATTATGAAGGCTTTGAGAAATGGAGAGAATATTAATAAAGAGATGAAAACAAAGGAAATTTCCAGATGAGATCAAAAGAAGGCAGCATTTGGAGCAAAGAACATGGTACTTTAGCAAGCAGGAGCTAAAGCTATAGATTAGGCTGACAGTTGAAGGGCTATGAATGTTTTACAACCTATTTTAGACTTTATTTGGTAAGAGAGAAGAGTCCCAAAAGGCTTTGGAGCGGGAGAGGGCATGAGTGGGACTAAGCAGGGACAGTAATCTGACCCTACAGTCTAAAATAAATCTGGAGCGAGGAATGGGGATAGAAAACACTCATAAAATCTAGCAAAGGGGAAGGAAGTCAAACTGAAGAGACCTGGAAAATGGGTAGGAGATGGATATCAGAGGAAAAAAGGGAGTGGAATCAGAAAATTTTGTGACTGATTGGGTGTGGAGAAGTGAAAGGACTTTTTAAAATAAGAGTTTGCCAAGGAGTTTGCACTTAAGAGCCTTGGTATAGGGATATACTGTCACAAAAATGAGGACAGCCAGAATAAACTCTCTTTTGGGGGGAACACAAGGGGCTGCATTTCAACATGGGAAATCCAGTGTGCTGATGGGGCAACCCAGAGGAGACATCCAGGGACAAAGAAAAGGGTAATAAAGCTTGGTGGAGAGGCCTGGACTGCACATGTTCATGAAAGCCTTACCCAAGCATAAATGATGATTACTCAAAGTTCACATTTAAAATCAAGTTTGAGAATTCTCGCTTAAGACAAATCTGACTCTTTTGCTCTTTGTAACTCAGTTCAAACAAAATCATAAAAGCTCGAATGTAACAAAGAGCTGAAAATATCTGGCACTTTATAATACTAGATGGAGTCATACCACTTTTTAAGGTCAGGGTCAATTTCATATGATTCAGTCAAATAATAATCAGTAACTGGAAAACCTAATAAAAAGTCATAGATTGCCACATCAATACAGCAACTAATACTCAATCTTAAGTAGGGATAGTAAAGCTTCCACTCATAATGCCACCTTCAAGACATCATCAAGGTATTCAGATATTTAAATTAAAAACTCAGATTTTTTTTTTTCTGAAAGTTAAGAATTTACTTGGAGCAGCGCACTGCAGGACGGTGGCCTCCTTGCTGGGGTCCTTCTGCTTCCTGTACACCCCATAGTGCATGATGGCTTTCCTGTGCATCACCCGAAGGTGGTCAGGTGCCTTGCAGCGGCCCTCATCCACTGCCTCCAGGTCCTGGTTGAAGCAGCAATACTTGGTGTTGTCAAGCTAGGGCAGGCACTATTCAATGGGGACCCAGACGTACATCTCAGGACACAGCAGATCAGACGGTCGGTACTGTCCCTTGAATTTCATTTTGGGACACGAGTGGATGTAGAAGCCCATATAGTAATAACTGAGCTGAGACATCTTCTCGTGGAGTTGCTTCGTAAATGCAATTTCTCTCAGTGCAGAGTAGACTCCCAGGGGCAGGAAGGAGTAATCAGGATAGTAGTACAAACACACAGACGACACGCAGCAGGGGAGGATGTCCACCACCCCCACGGCAATGAGCTTCCCGTGGAGCCAGCTGGTGGAAGGGGCCATAGCTGCACTTGGGCCCGTCCGGGGGATGCTCGGCCTCCAAAGGCGGTTACAGAGGAACCGTGTGAACTCAGTCTTCCCACATTCCTCAGGCGATGCTGCTCTTCAGAAACTGAAAGGCACCTGCACCATCATCTCCCCTCACGATGTCCTCTGGCACACATCTGATGGGTGGTCATTGCCTCAACGCACCCTCCTCCGTCCAGCACCCAGGCCTGCCGTTTCTACTGTTTGCCAGCTTTTCTAAAGTCTCTGGACTTCACAGTTCATGTAAGGTTTTTAAAATTGTTGGAATCCAGCCTCTTAATTGGGGCACATCTTTGGGGACTTGTTTTATGATTTCTGAGCAGAATGTGCTAAACTTCCTTTGTGAAAATTTTGGCAAGTCAAATTAGGGCATCAATGTTAGATCTTTAAATTGAAGATATGCTTATTTTATTTCAAGTTAGAAAACAAATTAAACTTTGCTCAGACCCTGCCCAAAAAAAGAATTAATTTACTATAAACTGGAGGTTTTAAAAAATTAAAATTTAAATAACTATAATATGTGCTGGGGACTGTATAAAGAGCTTTTTTTTCTAAAGGAATGTATTCTTAAATATTTACATACATATAAATATGTAACTTGAAGAATCCAAATTGAAATTCATGTGAGATGTTTAATAAATATTATTTTGAAAAATGAGATGCTTATTAAAAACACTTCTCCCTTTCAAACTTAGTACTGATATTTTTAGGTCAAAGCCATATGTGTTTAACACAT